AGTACAACTTCAACTTACGAGGGAGATCTGAAATCATTTCCCAGGTCATGTGCTGGGGTACATGCCAGTTGTTAGGGCTGGATCATCACAAGCCTCGAGCTTCAATTCCTGGTTCTCTGACTCTCAGAAAACCTTGTCCAGTGAGTCACTCCCTGGTTCAGTCGAGGTGCAGGAGGGGGCATTGTTTCTAAGAAGATCAACAGCTTTCTCATCATTACCATTTTGGCACCTATGCTCTTTTCCCTTTTTCTTCAGTGTTGTTCTAAATACAAACATTTTGCTGAGGAGGCCTCATTTCAGTGGGGTCATGCCTCTGGGTGAGGGGTTAGTGAGCTCAGGTGATCTCATCAGTCTCTTCCAGTTCAATACTTTTATAGCTGCATGAACTGACAACTTGTTCTTGGCACACTTCAAAGGGGCATCCATTAATAATTCTGGGAATGTCACATACTCACTGGCAATAAATGTGAGGCCTCCTTGACCAGCTGAAGTAATGGAATTAGCTGAGAAGAAGAAGGTAGTGGACTTTAGCCTCGGGTCATGTGTAATGGTCACAAGTCAGTGATTTATTAATTTATTCAAGCATAGGATTATTTTCAACAAATAAGAGATCAAATAATTTACTACCTCTTCCAAGGGCCTCTTGAAGACATCTGGAAAAACTGGCATAAAAAAGGAGAACTTCTAATAACTGAGTAAAACCTAACATTAAATCCAAACTGGAAATTTTCTAACACTTTTACCTTGAAGACCAGTTTTAGAAAAAGCAGCTATTATATCTTGTTCATGTTCTTGGAAAAAAATTCTAGAATTAATGTTACCAATTAAAATTACATATTTTTGCTATTAATTCAAATGTTTATGTTTAGAGATCCCATGCTCATTAGGCCATAATTTCTTACAGGCTTCCTTAGAAGTCTATGGTCTGAACATCAGATCAGAATCACAAATCACAACATTAAATGTAACTCATTATTAAAATAATAAAAAGACATCATTTTCATAGTTTTTTTTTTTTAACTGAAGATGATAAGATCCCTATAGAGCAATGCTTAAAGAAAATAAACCCCAGTAGCCTTCATTTTGAGCACAAAGGAAGCTCTGTTTGAGGAAGGAAGGCACTCGTCTCCTGGCCAGCAGTTTTCTAGGTGTTCTTTGTGCTCCAGGGAGACCCTGTGTGACTGTTCTCCGTGACTGTGTTAAAAAAACACCTTATCAAAGGAGCAGAGAAATACCTTCCTTTTTCTTTTCACTGCCACAAACTATATGTGTTTCATAATTATATTTGTGTATGCTGAAACCAAAAAAACCACAAGGCATTCCTTAACAACTGTGTTTTGTAAACAGCATACAATGCACAGAATACTCATTCTGTTTTTGTTATGGTTAAAAATCTGCTTCTCCTGTAGAATTCCCTATCCTGTTTAATGGCATCATTCTCTAAGTCATTCAGGCTAATAGAATTCTAAAAGTCCTATCCTAAATGCCTTTCTTCTTCTCACTTCTCATGGCCTATTGGTCATGAGTTCCTGGAAATTCAATCTTCTTACCATGTTTCATTAGCTCTCCTCTTTTATCCATCCCCCCTCTGCAACAACCTCTGTTTGGGAACTTAGTGCCTCTGTCCTGGGATACTGCTGTTGTCTACTTAGATATTCTTCCAGCCTTCCAACTTGCCTTCACCCTTTGTATCACTGCTCCCACTGCCCCCGACCCCTATCAAATCTATCTCCTGGATAGTCTATAGATAAATCTTTCTAAATTGCAAATATGATCATGTTAAGCCCCCATTTAAAGTTTTTCAGTGACTTCCCTATTCCCTAGAGAACAAAGTCCAAATTTAGTTTCATGTCATACAATGAACTTGTTGATCTGTCTGACCTGTGTCCCTACCCAATGTGGTATTTCCTTCACCTGCTCTATTCCTGAATGTTAGTCCTTCCAGTACATTCCATCCCATCATTTTACACCCCTATGCTTCTCACTATGCTACCTATCTTCCCATTCTAGCTGAAGGACACCTACTTATACTTTAATCCCCAGCTCAAATAGTTCTTTTTTGGATCAACCTCACAGCTTCCTGACTTTGCCCTTCTAAACAGAGCTGGTCATTCCCTCTTTAGTGATACCAGTAAGCTAGAATTCATTGTTGTACTAAAATTTGTCTTCCCTATGAGACTGTGAGTAGGAACTAGGTCATTTCTATCTTGATATATCCTCTGTCTAGCACTGGGCCTGGTATATGGGAGGTACTTTATACATTTTCATTGAGTAACAGGAAATCTAAGCTTGTACTAGAATATAATATTTATTCTTTTTAAGACAACTTTTATTGTTTTCTTCTGCTCATAACAATATTACCCAACAATTGTTAAAAATTCAGAAAAGATACAAAGAGTGAATGGTCTAGTTTTCAACAGCCCCTGAGTACAAATTGAATCTAGATGTTTTTGTGCTTTACTTCTAAGGCCCTTGTAGACTCCCCTTCTCCTATCACTGGGAATTCTGTGTTTCAGAATAGGTCTGTTGTCACTTATTACCATGGCTAACAGAGACAGGACTTCAGTAACCAAGCCAGAACTCAGATGTTGTCTCTACATTGAAGTGCCACTTCGGGTTGGAGCCCTGTTCCCAAGCTGCAGCCTCAATGCTATCTTAGTGCCAGGAAGGTTGAAAGTCGAGTTCTCCCTCTCAGAACTGGAGATGCTAACATTTTGCCATCTTGCAATGCAGTTGGGAATGCAGGTACTTGACTGCTGCATAGCAGAGCTGATTGACTATGGTATGACATGTGTGAAGCTTAGTTAAGTGCTCCCATAGTTACATCTCCTTGCTGAATCTGATTTGCAATTCTAGAACCCCCGGGGTTCCGGACCAGCAGGAACCCAGCCACACAGCAGGAGGTGAGCGAGTGAAGCTTCATCTGCCACTCCCCATCACTCCCCATCACTCGCGTTACTGCCTGAACCATCCCCACCCTCAACTGGTCCGTGGAAAAATTGTCTTCCGTGAAAACGGTCCCTGGTGCCAAAAAGGTTGGGGACCGCTGGTCTACTCTATTTCCACTTGTGTACCCTAAACATTATCTGCAGACATGTATCTATACATCTGAATCCCAATAGTGTATAAAATTCAAATTTATACTCCAGAAGGCTCCTTAGCCCCCGTGTAATAATGAATAATCATCCTTTGTAATAGAACAAAAAGTAAAAAAACTGAACTCCACTCAGTGAATGTACTAATTGTTTTTCCTAATTTGTACCATTAGTATTAGCTCTGTTGTCTTTAATCATAATAAATAATTTATCTGTATAAAAGACAAGGTTTGTAGTTAGTTTTGCTAATTATGGAAAATCTCTGAAGTATAGTTGGTTGGGTTAGCAAGCCCTGATAGTTGATGTATAGTTTGCTCTCTGATGACCTGGTTCATGGTATGCTTTGGCCAATGTATTAAGGTAAGTTCAACCGAGTGGTACATAACTCAGATGTAGAAAACTGAATTTACCTTTTCTCCTGGAAAACCTGAGTTTTATTTTGCCTGGATGTGTGTCTGATCTTATTCTATTGCTTTACTTGTGTAGTCATAATCCATGTGTTTTTTGAGATGGGTGTTCCATTATGGGAAAATGAAAGTTCTTTAACAACAATCACAAACATTGGATATACTAGTGTGGTAGATTCAGATAATAACTTAAAAAAATATTGAAGTATAGTTAATTTACAGTGTTGTATTAATTACTGCTGTACAGCAAAGTTATTCAGTTTATATATATATATATATATATATATATATAATTTTTATATATATTCTTTTCTATTACGGTTTATCATAGGGTATTTGTTTTTAATGGGAGTTTTTTTTTAAACATATCTTGGATATGACCCCTTTGTAGCAATATTCTCTCCCACCCTGTAGCTTGCATTTTCACTCTCTTAATGGTATCTTTTGACAACTGTTTATTTAGTCCAATTTATCAAACGTTTCCTTAAAATCATAGGGTATTGAATATAGTTCTCTGTTCTATACAGTAGGACCTTTTAATTTGTCCATTCTATATAAAAAAGCTTACATCTGCTAACCCCAACCTCCCACTTCATCCCTCCCCCAACCCCATCCCCCTTGGCAATTAGTAGTCTGTTCTCTGTGTTTGTGATTCTCTTTCTGTTTCCTAGATAGTTCATTTGTGTCATATTTTAGATTCCACATATAAGTGATATCATATGGTGTTTGTCTTTCTCTTTTTGACTTACTTCACTTAGTATGATAATCTCTAGTTGCATCCATGTTGCTGTAAATGGCATTATTTTGTTCTTTTTTATGGCTGAGTAGTATCCCATTGTATATATGTACCACATCTTCTTTATCCATTTATCTCTCGATGGACATTTAGGTTGTTTCCATGTCTTGGCCATTGTAAATAGTGCTGCAATGAACATTGGGGTGCATGTATCTTTTTGAATCATAGTTTTGTCCAAATATATGCCCAGGAATAGGATTGCTGGATCATATGGCAATTCTATTTTTAGTTTTCTGAGGAACCTCCATACTGTTTTCCACAGTGGCTGCACCAACTTATATTCCCACCAACAGTGTAGGAGGGTTCCCTTTTCTCCACACCCTCTCCAGCATTTGTTATTTGTAGACTTTTTAATGATGCCCATTCTGACTGGTGTGAGGTGGTACCTCATTGTAGTTTTGATTTGCATTTCTCTATTAATTAGTGATGTTGAGCATTTTTTCATGTGCCTACTGGCCATCAGATAATATCTTTTTTTCATGGTTCGTGATAACTTTTAAGGAGTGGCAAGGACTGGTATTTCAAGGCCTTTTATTATTTATAATGCTCTGTAGTCTGACAAATCAGATATGATTATTTTTTATGCTCAGCTTTACTAAACATAGAGAATGTGATAAAGGTTATTTAACTTCTCGCTTTGAATCACATCTGCAAGGAAATACACATATTTCAAACATCACCCATAAACAAAGAGATAGGTTAAGATCCTCAAGTGGTCATTTTATTAAACAAATACAAATTTGAAGTGTTTATCATAAAATATATCAATATTGGACAAAAATGTGTGTAAACAGCAATTCTACAACTGGGAAGACATCTTAGTTTTGTTAATGTTGGTGACATCCTCCCAACCGTGTCTAATCTTCAGTATCTTCTTTCTCAAGCATGGCAGGAGTAGTATGGCTTTGCATATCAGGACAACAATCGGAAGGAAAACAGCTATCATAAAATTTGGAGGTGTATACCATACAAATTGTTTTATATCTACCCACTTGTTCCAGGCAAAAACCAATGCATGTATTGTGCCCAGCAGAAGGGAAACAATTCCTAGTTTGCTCTGCAAAAGAAAAAAGAATTATCTTGGTGAGATTGGTTCATTTAGAGTTTATTCCATCCTGTATCATCTAGATCTGTTTTGTTGCTTGGAAATTCTTCCATTCATCTCCATTTGTTTTCCTATTATGTTTCTCGACAAGGTCCACTCATATTTCCACTCTTTTTACATGTGGGTAATGCCTTTGTCTCCAGGCTATCTAAGTTGAGAAAATTCACAACCATTCTCCTTTTGGTCTCAGAAAATCGATAACATTGCCTTCCCTTTCTCCATACCTTGTTCTTGGTCTCTTATGACATTTATTTTATGATGCTTTGTCTCTTGTGCATTTGCCTTAATTCTGCTTATCAAGAGACACCTAAAATCAGAGATTCTGTCTGACTCATCACAGGATCCCTGCAGAATCAACACAATGCACATTTTAGGTGCTCAATAAATATTGGTGGGTTGACTGAAGATCAGTGCAAAAATCAACTTGATATTAGTGATCTTTATCAATTACAAAGGCAACTAAAGTGATTGACTGTGATTTTGGTATATTAATACTAAAGTGAATGAGCTTGGTCTTTGTTAAAAAAAATCAAACACTTTGATAAAGTGGAAAAATACCAACAATTATTTCAATGTTTGAACGAAACATAGAGATATGGAGATGTGAAGAAAACTGTCAGCTTGCATTGGGATACTTGGCACCATCCAGATAAAGTTACTTAAAAAGAATTGTTCACCTATGTAGTTTTATGGAATTCTGGCAATAGCTCTTCTAGATATCTTCTGACTTCTATTCACTTTACAGGAAATGTTCACGAGACTGTCAGAATGAATCCAACTCACAATTATTCAGCAGTAAGCCCCAATGAATACAACCAAATAGCTAAGTTTATATTTTCAGATATATAAATCTCCAAGGTAAATCATAAAGTAGCCAGTACTTAGATTGTAAATGAAAAGTTGCTAGCTTATTAATTGAAAAATATATGTAATTAGTTGAAGATTAATTTACCAAATGTGTATTGTATACATATTATGGGCTAGGTATTGTACACAGAGTGGAGTGCGTTGGGTTGTCAAGATACAGCGCTTGAATTTGTAATTAAATCTGTAAAGTGATGCACAGCATATGTGTGACAGGCAGAGCAATGTAAGAAGAGAGCTATTTAATGAGGAACAGGCAACTCCAATCGCCATCAAGCTAAACCTACAAAATCAGCAGATATTGCCCCTGGAAAATGTGGCACCATCTCTGAACCACATTCAAATAATTCAGATGGAGACATTCTTTCCAGCTTAATCAGATGTCCTGATAAGGTGTCTGTCGGAGTACATGCATGGTTGTGTACAAAGGATAGTGAGGATTAACTGACTTTGTGGGAATTTCCAAAGATGTTTAGCCATAAAAGTTAAAGCTATGTATATAATTTAAAAAATCTTGGCAGTGCCTAGGACTGAATTAAGCTTAGTCCTTTGAATCTTGTCGGACATGGAGCCCATTATTCTTTCTAGGGTGTAATCTACCACTAGGAAGTTAACCTCAGTAAATCTGAGGCAGTTTTGAATTCCAGGAATATTCAGTAACTTCAAGTGAATAAGCTGCGTACAATGTAACTTGGAAAAAGAAGCTTTTAAAATTAGATATTACAATACCTTTGGTAGATAAAACTCCATATTTCAAGGAGGAGAGTACAAAGCTGTGTAACTTAAAAGTTACACATGAATAAAATCGGAGGATAGGCAACATTTTTTGTTTTACTTTTGGAGAACTAAGAAAACAATACTGAATTTCTAAAATATCACATTTGTTGTTATTAGATAGACAGCTTTGTCCAAAGCTTGTCCAACAAGCTTCAAATGTTAGAAATAATATTTTTCTTTGAGTAATGCCTCTTATATATGTCTAGAAAACACCTCTCCTATTTATCAGCAAGAGGGAAAAATGATAGGAGAGCACATTTTTAACTGGAACAAGTGTGAGATCTTTGCTATTGGAAAACCATCTATGATTTTTGTACGGGGTAAAGTCAGTATACTTGAGGATATTATAAGCTTAAAAAGAAGATTTACCTCTCTGAGGGACCAGAGTTTTTTTTTATGTATAATTTACCTGAATACAGTGAAATTCTCTCCAGGTCAAAGAGTCGCTCACAGACGGAATAGATGTCACAGCCAACAGAGCCAGTACTGCAAGTGTCACAATTCCTAGAGACACATAAATTTCCATTCTCCAAACGTCATGCTCAATCCAGGCATCTTCTTTATTTTGTTGGACCTAAGAGAGGGTGAAAAGAGGAAGGAAAAAATGCAAACAACACTTGTTTCCAGTATAAGAACCTCCTTCTACGCTCCCTCTACTATGGAGGACCTGATAACTAGGGGCCTCCACAAATTTATGACTTTATTTTTGCATTTCTCTAAGCGAAATGACGTAGGAGCTATTGATCTTTTTCCTTGAACACAAAATTTATATAATCTGTTTTATTAATTTATATTATAGTTATTTGTTGGTTAGAATTGTCATATGTGTGTATATATGGTAAATAAGCAGAAAATAGGAACAATTAGCATTAAAAAGAAATCTTCTGAGGGTGGTAGAAGACTGAAATGTGGCTCTCGGTCCATGAACAAAATACTTGTTTATGTTGTTAAAGTTGTAGTTTACTATTTTCAGCTTAGAAAACTTTCCTCAAAGTAGAATTATACAACCAAGCCCCAGTGAAGAGTTATAATAAAAAATTTTAAAAAGCAGATGACTTTCTCAACACAGGGTTTCAACAGAGGTTTGTGGTACTGATATTAAAATAAGAAACAGTTAATTTGTTAGGAGACTTAGACTTTTTAGTTTAGTGATATTGTCAGTAATGTCATCCTACCTGTTGATATGCCCAGTTTAGCAACTTGTATCTGTAGGATCGTCTCATTGGATAGGATAAGCTGTAAACTGCATGCAGTACAGCAAAAAAGAAACTGAGAAGACCAAATTGCTTTCTTGTTACCATCCACCTATCCAACCAATGTGGAAATTTCTTATACTTGGTTCCATTATGAAGCTGCACAACTGCTGCTATCACACCTGGCAAATAAACCAGTGCCAAGAGGGTGATGGAAACCATTGGCAAGACTTTGTTGATGACCAGGATTGGAATTTTATAAAAATACTGTTGATGGGAAGTTACAAAAGGGTGAATTATTTCCCTCAGAAGAGTGTAAAGAAAAGTCAGAGATGATACGATAGCAGCGATTTTAATTGGTAAACGCCACTTTGGAAAGAGTTCCTGTTTGTGCTGAAGCTCTGGGGGGCAATCAAATTCATCACAATGGGTTGTTTGGTGCAAGTGCAAAAGCACAGGTCTTTTTGGTGCGCTGGTCTCTCTTGAATCCTTATTCTACAAAGGAAAGAAAATGAACATCTTAAAATTGAACAAAACAATGGGATGTCTCTCAAACTAATTACTTACTGCTCATTGTACTTATCAGTGAAAAGGGACATTTTGAACCTTGCTTTGGGATACTGGTTAGTGGAAGGTGGCATAGACTATGTGGCAATGATCAAAGGTATACTTCGTTATCCTACCTTACTGGGGCTTCTCCATAATTTCTGTTACTCATTTTTCTTTAAGTCAAAAGAAATACATGCTTCAGATACCTCCACTAGAGCTCAGACCATTGTGTTTCTATCTTGAAAGTGTAAAAGAATGAAATAATGCAACTGGGAAACAAAAACTGAAAAACTTAAAAAAAAATCCAGCAATCTTTGGTCAAAATAACAACACTTGTAAGTGGTCATAGTTGTATTTGTTTTATAATTTCTTTTGGTTACTGGACAACTCTCTGCAAACTCCATTCATTCAAGTACAAAGGAACAGGAATAATATAGTCATTACTATTAGATAAAAATATGTAATTTCCATCTTGTAGTCTTTTTCTAAATTAATGTTTATTGGAGTATAGTTGATTTACAATGTTCTGTTAGTTTCTGCTGTACAGCAAAGTGAATCAGTTATACATATATGTATATCCACTATTTTTTAGATTCTTTTCCCATATAGGTCATTACATTACAGAGTATTGAGTAGAGTTCCCTGTGCTATACATTAGTTTCTTATTAGTTATCTATCTTACATATAGTAGCATGTATATGACAATCCCAACCTCCCAATTTATCCCTCCCCCCATCATGTAGTCTCATATTCATAAAATATCTCATTTGTATAAGTACTAATAGACGAATAGTCTATTAAAACGGTACAAAGGCTATATAAGTAGTTAAATCCCACAGGGATGATTTATTTCCTGAGAAAGTTATATTTCTTTACCCAGTTGCATTTCTAGGTAGTCAACAATTCAAAAGAAGTTTGCACTGAATATTACGTCACTTCCCCAACTGACTGATATACCAGCAAATTAAAAAAAAAAAAAAAACAACCCTCAAAATAAGAACTTATAGCAGAGTGTTTCATATTGTGTTACTTTATGAATAAATTCACTTTCTCACCTAATATGTTATTCCTAATTTCTTATAGCTCTAGATGTAGACCCATAACATTTTAATGCTCAGAATGATGTTAGTGATTATCTTGTTCATTTCCTCATTTTATGCAGAGTAACTTTAATTCGCATAGTTCTCTATAATTTTTAGTGTTTAAAAATGACCTCTTGCCATTTGACTTTTACTTTCAGTAACAAATCACTATTACATCCAATGCTTTTTCCAATTACTCCATTTAGAAGGGAGTTGAGCATTATACATCTTCTGCCATCTCTGCATGTTAAAACAATCAACGGATATCAATTTTCTGGTTATGGGTGAAGAATCATGGAACAGCAAGTAAGACAGTTCACTTGAAAACTGAAAATGATTTTATTTTATGCACACTTATTTTAGACAGTATGTACTTGTACTACCTTATTTTTCCTATTAAGATAATTAAGATAAAATAAATCCTTTCTGTTAAAACTGTAGTTGAGATCAGTTAGAAAGGTAAAAAGAGTTTGGAAGCAAAATTTTCCACCACTTGTTCAGTCAAATAATTTAGTAAGAAACATTTAATCTTGATGTGGGGCAAAAGTGTGACAAATGATTCTTATTCCAAAGTTGAATTTATTTGGTTAAACAGTGAATCATCAATTAACTTGATGATCTCTTGGTAAACTGCCATGGAGCCTATGAAAAAAACAGTTTACAAAACTACTGTTATATGGGCATTGATGACTTTTTCAAAAAACTTAGACCCACAGAATGTTAGAAAGAATTGGAAGGGCTTTGGAGATGATCTGGTCCAACTCTCTCACTTTATAGATAAACCAAGACCCAGGATTTTCAGTGACTTACTCAAGGTTATTCAGCTAAGTCCATGACAGTCAACGTACAACTCCTCTCATAGCCCACACTGCCCTTTAGCCATCACAGTATCAGTGCCAGGAATCAGAGTAAAGATATCAGCAGACTAGGGTGAAAATCACTTTTATAACACTAGGAGATATAGAACAGCATTTGAATTATTTATAGATTTTAATTAATTAATTAATATTATTAATTTACCAAATAACCATCTTCTTCTCGATTTCTCCTGGGCTTCATTTTCCAAAGTTCTTCTTGGTTTGTGATGTCTTGTCTGCCCTCCATTAATTCTATAAAATAGTATGGCCTCAGCCACCTGTGCAAATAAAAATAATCTTCACATCTATGCTATTTATGATATTAACGTTTGATAGGGCAATATGAGAAATTTACTCATATAAGGGCTAGAGTGGCAGATAAAGTGCAATTTAAAATATAGACTGATTGACTCATTTAACCTCACATTATAGCCTGTAAGAATTCAAACAAGTGCCCTTGTGTCAATAGTGTTTTTCTTTGTCCAACTATCAGTGCAATGAATGACCCAGGTGTCTATATGGAATTCAAAGGGTCAGATGTTGCCTTTTATTTTAGGAGACTTTAACTCCAGGTGCTCATTTGGAGGAAAGTCAACTCCCCTCAAAGGTAAATAGAATTAGGAATGTAGTTTTTTGAGAGTAACAATGTTGTCAGTGGAGGTTGGAGTTTGCTAATATAAGATTATATTTCAGGAAGTTGTGCTTAATAGACTTCTGCGGTTGACACTGGAATCTGAAATAATGGTGAAATGATTTTATGGGGAAATGTACTCTGAGTTTCAGAAAATGAACAGAATAGACACTCCTGGTAAGGTGAATGCTGATAGCAGCACAAAGGACTGAAAGGTTGTGTTTTAGGAGTGCCATTTTCCCATCAGAGTCACAGCCTGGTTTTTGTTGGTAAGGCATGTGTTGCTAGCATATTTCCAGTGGGGTTGTTGATGTGTTCAATCATTGATATGCCCACTCTCCTGGTTAACCCTGTGGAAATTATTTTGTCACACTTCCTGCCCGATAAAAGAATCTTTTCCTTAACACTGTCCACAGATCCTCATTTGGGCTTGGTGTAACATTTTTTAGGAAAGGGAAACATATGATGTCACAACATTATTCACTGTTTTATTAGTTCTAAATTTATTTCCAGAGGAATACATTGCCAATTTATTCGTTATGAAATTCAGTAAGAAAACAGATTAGATATATAACCATTTGATTGACAGAAACATTCCAAGTGTTTCTGAATTTTAGACCACCTGTAATACTTTATTAAGTGGAAAGTTGTTTCTAGCAGTTTAAAACACAACATTCTCCAACTTTTAAAGGTTTGATCTTCACAGAGAATAAAGAGGAGTCATTTTTACATAATGCCAACATGTGCCTTTGTTGAAGTGCTCTAAGAACATTTTCCATACGTTACTTATTTCAAAATTTCACAATATTCATGCTGAGAATATTTTTTTTGGTCTGCCCACATTCTTTTCCCACTATTTTATGATCCAAAACATTTCCTCCGTCCAGAGAAATGCCCTCCTCTGGCCACAGAAGTGGGCATATGACTCAGTCTTGACTAATGACAGTTCTCTATTCTGCTCATCACACTGATTGGCTTAGGGATGGCACACAACTCTAGTTGAACCAATTAGAGTCCTTCTCTGATGTTTATATTTGGAAATGAAAGATAAAGAGAAGATGTCTTTAATATTCTGTTATATTGGGATGATAGAAGCCTACCATGCTTTCTTCTACATGCTGTAAGGAGGAAGATGTCTTCAAGAGGACAGAAGAAAGCCAACACACAGAAGCCTAAGCAAGAAATGGGGAAAGACACAGAAGAGTCCTGGCATGTTTAAATATTTAGAGTTTCTGAGACCAGATCCTGAATTTTTCAGTTACACAAGCCAATACAATCCCTATTTTGCTTAAGTTAGTTTGAGTAAGGTGTATATCACTGGCATTTGAAAGAGTTCTGAGTAAAGCATATGCCAATCTTCAAGTATCTATGAACTCTAATCTATGACAGACATTGAGGAGGAAAAAGAGAAATGAGATTTCGTGTCTGCTCTGGAGGGGTTTTACAGTCTATTTGCTTAAGAAGTATTATTCCAAATCATTTGGTGATTTAACCAACATTATTAATATAGTAATTTCGGGTGTGTATATGACTAGGAATACAAGTTTTACTTACTGTAATCAAATACAAGAAATAATTCACCATGCTTGGGAGATGTGTTAACTGTTTCAGGATGGCAAAGATGTTAACATACAAATCTACACTTTTTCAATATTAAGTCACTAACTATACTGTGAACAACCAGGTAGGCAGTGGGAATATAAAGTTAAGTGAGATGGAGACTCTGCTTTCAAAAAGCTTAAAGTCTAGGAGAGAAGGCAGACATTTCAGGAACTGACTGCATGGTAGTGCAATGCATCGGAAAGGAAGACAAAGTTTTATGGACAGATGGTGGCATGGGAAGGGTGAGGGCTCTCTTCAGGACCTGGTCCTGGAGCATCTAGCAAGTTGGTATTATTTGCTGATTGAGGGCCACTTTGCACAGAATCTGGGTGAAAAGCCAGAGTGGCCCTGGAGAGGTATCCAACCATTCGTCCGCATGGTAGGGAGACCATACTGAAGAGCAAAGCCAAGGAAAAACCCCAGGCAGTTAGGGAGCTTGTTGACTGTGTCACCCACAGTCCACCTTGTACCCTGAAGCCAAGAAAATAAAATATCAGTCAAATAAAATATGTTGGTTTCCCTCAGACATTAACCAAATATATAATTTAAATTCTACAATAAAGTCTTTTCGTCAACAAAAACAACAGGAAACAGCACAGTATTCAGATGTTAGGAACTCCAGAATTTGATCCAAAGTTCTCTTTCGTCTCCATTAAAAAGCAAAGCCTATTTCTGATGTGACTGTTCCATTTTGCTGTACCAGGACCTGACGTTCCTGCTAAATATTGACACAGTCCAACTGACTTATGTTTATGTTGAAGAATCTGGAATATGAAGACACTCAATGACCGGGATACGTGGTCAGTTGCATTGCATTTCCAAATCTTCTATACTTTTAACTGCAAACTTACTTTACCACATTTAACTATGTGAAGGGGAGATGTTTTTCTTCACTGGGCTGTGTTGTTAGGCCTTGCTTCCCCCGTGTGCTAAACGAATGACCTTTTATTCAATAAGGATTTTTTTTTTTTTTTTTTTTTACAAAAAGAAGAGTCAGGAATTTGGAAGTGTTCGTAAATTTTATGTCTACAAGCTCCTTCCAGTGGATTTCACACCTGACACATATAAAGCCTTGATTGACTATCTGGAGGAAACCTGAATCCTAACTGAGATCCTGAAAGAGTCGGACTAATGTTCCAAGGACTTAAAATGAAAACTCTCTGTTACTAGGAAACTTGAAGACGAGTTGCACGGTTTTAAGTAGTACGTACCAATCATTCATCAGTACTACAAAATAATACAAAATCGTGGCGATTTTGCCAAGTTGGAAAACTTGCCATCAGAACCCAACCTAAGGACAAACTTAATAACTCATCATATCCCCTGAGTCCCCAGAGAAAAGGCTTTCCTGTGAGTCCCCGGCTCCCAGCCCCTGGACCAGCCACAATGGAGCGGTGTGCTCCGCGGAGAGCTCGCTGGAAGGCAGCGTGTCCCAGAGCAGCGCGCAAGGGGCGAACTGAGCTGCGCTCGCCCCGAAGCGCCGCTGCTTCAGTCCTGGGAGGGCTCGCAACCCCCTACACTCCTACCGATGCTGGGAGCCGGTGCCCGGCCTCGCAGGGACACCGAGCGGCAGGGAACAAGCAGCGAGCCAGAACGATTCAAGGGACTCACCCGTCTCTCGGCGTGATCTGACGGGAAGTCGCGGCCGCAGCACCGGCCCGGAGGTGCCCAGCCCCGCTCGGCGCCCGAACCTCCAGAGCGCGAGCCTGCTTTGCCTGGGCAGACTCCGCCTCCTTGTCAATTGTCCGTCCGGCGCCACCTGCCGGTGCCGGGCGTCCGCAGGGCTCCTGCTTGGCTGGACAGCCCTGGGAAGGTCCCAGAGCCGAACCTAGGATTTCCCTACGTAGCCATCCGGCCGCTCCCGGTTTTCTCTCAAAGAGCCCTGTCCTCTACCTGAGGTCTACTCTGCACCCTCTCGATCCTCTCGATATTCTCCCCTCCTCCTTTTCCCTCCCTTCCGCCCTTCTTCTCGCCTACTTTAATCTCCCACCTAATGAACATTCGTGCAATTCCTTAGAGCAGTGGTTCTCAAACTCTAACATGTGTTTCCCGTAGGGCTTATTAAAACACCGATCTGTCGTGTCCACCCCCCTCCCTCCAAAGCCCCTCTCCTCCACCTGGCCCGCGTTTCCTGTTTAGTAGATCCGGGATGGGGCCTGAGATTCTGCATTTTCTAACAGTTCCCAGGTGATGCTGAAGCACTCTCAGATCACACTGTGAGAGCTTAGCTAACTCATTTTAGAGCTTTAGCGCTTAGCGAGCTCATTTTAGAGCTTGAGAGCTTAGCTAACTCATTTTAAACTTCACAGCAGCTCTTTGAAGTGGCTGTAATTTACAATTTCCAAATCCGAATCTGAATCTCTTTTGCCCCCTAAATTGCCGAAATCTTGTATCTTAAACCGCACAAACCCTGTCCCCTAGCTGAATAAGTCCTTAAACCCGACGTTCACTCCTTCCCTTCCCCACCTCTGATGTTAAAGCCACCTTCCCATACCCTAACCCCATCAAGCACTACAAACCTAAAGTTGAGTTACTGTCACTATTTAAAAGTTTAAGGTTGTTTTTAAAATATGAGGGGTATGGAGAAAGAGCGAACGTGAGCGGGGGATTTACTCCTCTGACTTGGAACCAGCCTCAGGGTAGAGCGTCTGAGACCTGAATTGCAACGTCTGAGGATTTGGTGTCTAACATCCGCAGAACTAATCTGATTAGGAAAAGTAAAGGAAAATAAACTCTCAACTGCATTTTCCTTGATTGTCTTTTATTCATAGCTAGGGCCCCTAGGACTGTTCATATTTTAATATGTAATTTTCTGTAGTCATTGACTGTCCACAGGGTAATGTTAAAACCCCTTGACGATTAATTTACCATGGACTGATGCCTTGCGGTAGAAGTAGAATCTTACACTTTTTATTCCTAGCAGAACTAGAAAATAATCATTTTTAAAAGGCTTAGGAAAAAAAAGTCTCTGTGTTTATAGAACAGATTATGAAAATTAACACAAATTGCTAAATGTGTCTAGCATTGTTGAATTTTAAA